AGTGGTGACTGCCTTGCTAAGATGCCCTGTTGTGATAGTGGCACAAAAGTTATGGGAGCAACCAATAACTCTCTGGTTGTAATTAAAGCCTAGTCTATGAGACAGAACCCATGCCTGATACTGCTTAAGCGGTCAAGAACCTGAGGCTAGATAGGCCAGGGATCTAGGGGAAACCAAATACTATTGTCCTACTAATAGAATGTAACAAGAAAATGACTCCTAATGATATCTGCTATGCTTATAGACAGCACCTTGCTCAGCTATCATCAGAGAAGCTTTTTCTTACAGCAGATGGGAACAAATACAGACATCCACAGCTGGACATACTGCAGAGAGTGAGAGACCTTGGAAAACTCAATCCTAAATGATTGTTTTCAACAAGCCCCTCCTTTAGGACTCAGGCAAATATGCAGACTAGGGGGTAGAAAGATTATAAGAGCCACAGAGGATGGAAAAATATCAGAAAAACAAGGCCTTCTAGACAAAACAGGATTTACATACCTATGAAGTCATAGAAATTATGCAGCAGTCACATTACCTGCATGGGTTTACGCCAGATGGAGTTTTGGTGCTTAAAGTGGAAGCAGACAGAAACCCACCTCCCTAAACCAGAAGCTATCTCCAAATGATAGTGGATCACAAAGGAAAAACTGTTTTTCAGAGTCTCACTGGGTCAAAGCATAATGACAGGTAAGCCTCATGGCCACCAGAGGTTGGCCAACACAAACTGAAACTCAATGGTACTTTTGGAGTTTTTTTTTTTAAACTTTACAGATCCTTTGCTTACATACTGTGATTTCCAATTTTGTCTTTTATCAGTTGTCTGTCTATGCAGATGTGCTATTGAACAGGACAAAGAAGAAATCTTGGTACTAGGTGAGACTGTTGTGCTGTCTGTGATATTTACAAATCAGGAGACAATATCCAATATTAGAAGGTGGCACCTTTATCCCTTCAAGATTACCAAACCCATACCTGCTTGGACTGTCACTGTCTCTGTGGGCTTGAGAGGGTTTTTGGCTTTTGGTTCCTAGACCAGTTAAGAACCATGTCATTAGCCTCCAAAACTTATTCCTTTTTTCTTTTACATTGTATGTGTGTGTGTGCATGTGTGTGTGTGTGTGTGAGGGGGGCGTGCATTTGCTCATGCATGCATGCTGTGGCACATATGGCTGGAGTTAATTCTCTCCTCTCACCATGTAGGTCCTAGGACTTGAACTCAGGTGGTCAGGCTCAGTGGCAAGTGCACTTTGCTGTCTGAATCCTGCCACATGTCAAACCTGTCTTTCTTAGCTTCCTCTTGTCAGGAAAATTGAGATGGACAATACAGGAAGTGACAAGAAGGGAAAGAGGCTGAGGATAAAGGAGCGAAGATTGTGGGGATGGAAGGAAGCTATGGATATGGAAGAAGAAGGAGAAACAATTAAATGTGAAGGGAAGGGCAGTGCTCCACAGCTCAGGCTCAGTGGGAGACAACTTTTGGGTGAAATCCACATACTTTTGTCTTTATTTTGCTGTGAA